TTTGTCAAAGGGAAATTCTGAGTGCAGCACTAAGTGATTGCGTCCAGTCAACATGGACTACTCATATTGTTTGGTTCAAATAAAAATCTAGGGGGATTCTTCAGTGACTCAGTAGCTGTGTGTCTTTTGAATGTAAATTGGTCCTCTAACATATGAATCAGGTTTTCAGGTAATCCTTGGAGATAAAATTTTGATTTTGCATATCAGTGTTTCATGTATATTGGGGGTTGTGATGGGTTTCACTCATCCGGAGAAAAAAGAAATATTATTTTCATATCTTTGGATCCTCAAAGAATGTGAACTTAGGCCTTGCAAGACCTCTGAGAAGTCCTGTCTGACAAAGCAAGATGGAAAATGCTGGATAGAGACTAACTTATCCATCACTCTGGTGAGAAAAGAAACTACCACCACCCTTCAATCCCAGTAGTTAAAATTCCAGAATTGGGGTTCTGAGTACATTGATTATTAATGCTACGGAGACACTAGGAGGTGAGCGGTCTTCCCATCCCTTCCCTATCTGGGACAGAGGCCTAGAAAAGCAGCAGGGGCTGCCCGGGGCTCAAGTGGGAGCTTTGGTAATTTATGAGATGACTCAGCCCATATCCCCAGGCTAGAAATGACAGGAGGCTTCAGGAAGAAAGCTCATGCAGTTTCCTGGAGGTGGCCAGGAAAGGTCATGTGGACTGCAAGTGCAAGAAGGCAAAGGGTAATGCCTCTCCTCCCCCACCTGATAGTGAGCCCTTTGGGGCCGATTCGCCTGTATGTCCCCTGATTGCCTGGATTTTAACCTGGACAGCCTCCTCCACACGCTCGGAAGCAATCCCTGCTGATTCAGGAGGGCCACCGTTCCAAAAACATCAAGGCGCCCAGTGCAGGTTCTCTCTGCTTTCAGGGGTGAGACAGACCGCTACCACATCCGAGGGAGCACCGTCTCGGCTTGGTGCGGAGAGGCTAGGTCTCTCCAAGGTCCTTTGGCCTCCCGCTTTTACTGCCAGCCCTGATAGCTTGGCAGCTGTTAATAATTGTTATCTGACATCCAGAATGTATTCCCAAAACACCTCGCACCAAGGGAACAGGGGGTCCAAAAATGCAGGGAGGCAGAATGGGAAGCAACCTAATCTCTTCTGTGCCACTGCCCCTTCACAAACACCAAGGACACCTCTGAAGGCATTAAAGTAACTGAGAGGTACACGACTGTATTCTAAGTGTCTGCATTACATCTGGAATCCTTATTTTCTAGGGCTTTAGGATACTTAACCAAATTTTATCACATACACCTCTTTAAAAAAAAAAAACCTAAATGGGGGCGCCTGGGTGGCTCAGTCAGTTAAGGTGCCCAACTCTTGGTTTCGGTGCCAGGTCAGGACCTCAAGATTTCAGGGTCGTGAGATCGAGCCCCGCGTGGAGCTCCATACTCAGCGGGGAGTCTGCTTCCCCTTTCCCTCTGCCCCTCCCCTGTTCTCACACCCATGCACGTGCGCGCTTTCTCTCAAATAAATCTTTTTTTAAAAAAATCTAAATGAACTTTTTTTCCTAAATGAACTTTAAAAGCAGAAATAGAATGAACCTCATTTTCTAATCACAATGTGGCAAAATGAAAAGTTAAAAAGAAAATGGCAATATCGTATAGCTTTGGATCAAAGAGGAATTATAATGAAAACTGCAATTATGAGTAATTTTGAAATCATCAGTAATAACACTGTGATGATTAATTTAATGTGCCAACTTGACTGGACTAAGAGATGCCCAGATAGCTGGTAAAACATTATTCCTCGGCTTGTCCGTGAGGGTGTCACCAGAAGAGATTATTAGCCTTTGACTCAGTGACTGAGTAAAGCGATCTGCCTTCACCAAGTGGGTGGGCAGCACCGAATCTTGAGGCCCTGAACAGAACAAAAAGGTGGAAGAAGAGCAAATTCCCTCACTCTCTTTCTTGAGTTGGGATGTCCTTCTGTTCCTGCTCTTGAACACTAAAGCTCCTGGCTCTCTGATTTTCAGACTCTGGGACTTACACCTGCAACCCCCCAGTTCTCAAGTCTTCCACCTTGGACTGGGAGTTACAACATCGGACTAGGAGTTAACGTGTTCCAACTAGAATTGAATTATATTACCAGCCACCCTGGCTCTCCAGCTAGCAGATAGCCGATTATCTTCGTAACTGTTATGAGCCAATTCCTGTAATCAATCTCTCTCTCCCTCTCATTTTCTACACACACACACACACACACACACACACACACACACACACCCCATTGGTTCTGTTTCTCTAGAAAATCCTAATACAGACATTATGTATAAAACTATAGAATGTGACTAAAGCCATATTTAGAGGAAAATCCATAACTTAAGTGCTTTTATCATTAAACAGCAAAGAATGAAAAGACAATATCCTGAATATTTATTGAAGAGCTTACACTGTATCAGGCCTGGACAATACACATTACATTTAACCTTCAGAGCACTTACGGGATGGCTCCTGGTTTTTGTCCTTCAAAACACTAAGGAGGTAGGGACTGTATTTTGCCATTACCTTTTGGAAATGTTCAGAAATATAACTACGCACATCCAATAGGATCCACTAGGCACATCCACTGGGATATATGTTTCCAAGAATTATTTCACATATTTCTTGACTCAATGCCACAAATATTGTTTAGTGCCTGTTACATACAGGACACTAGAACAAAGAAATAGATAATAGATGTCTTCTAAGCTGCAAAATCCAGTTGTGCGTTTATGCTACAGATGGGGGGGGCGGGGAGGATGCAGCTCGTATGATGACGGCAACTAAGCCTCCTATAGCTAAAATTGACTGTATTAAATGCTCAGAAGGATGCATAAACCCAGCACCATGGGTGCAGAGAGTAAAGTGATTGCAACGTAGGGTGGGAGCAGGGGTCAATCGTGGTGCTTGTCTCCACGGCTCAGGGAAGTGGTTCTGAGTTGCACAAACCATTATTAATGTGATCGAAGCAGGACGAGCATACACATTTCCACTTTATTAAAATATTGCATAGATACAGAGCAGTTGGGCACATCCTTTCTAAGGCACTGTCCTGGTTTGAATGCAAGTCCACAAGAGAGAAAAGAGAAGCCGTTACATTCCGTACTGTTCATCTCTACATTCAGACTCCTCCCACGTTAACATGTTTATTGCTACTGGGATCTCAACGTTAACCCCACACTTATAGCAGCATCTTACAGGGACCCGGATGACAAGAATTAAAGACACACCCTGGCTCTAGCACTTCATATGATTTGGCACTTAATTCCAAACTCTCTTGCATTGTTCTCCATGTGTTTCCCAACTCTTGTTTAACTAACGATATTATAAACTCCTTATGAACCTGACTCACGGATTAATGTCTTTACTGGTTTCCATTAAGCCTAGAACAGGACTAGTTGGGCACATCGTAGTTGCCCCGAAATATTTATAGTCAATATCACTTCCGAGAACTTCAGTGGAACAGAAAAAAATATATATACTTTCCCTAATTCTAGGTTAGGGAAACAATGACTGGTGTCTTCAAAAAGGGAAAATACTTGAATGCCCTACCTCTTGTATTTCACAACAAGGAACTAGGCTGAAGGAATATTTTCAGGTATCAACAGCTACAACTGACAAAGAGAGTTCTTCCCTTGTTACAGGACTTTGAGTCATTACCACGATTACATGAGAATGTTTATATAAGTAGCAATATGTGTGTGTGGTTATAAGTAAATTTCAAAGAGGTTGAGAATCACTGAGTGACATATAAATTATCTCAATTAGTGACCCTCACACCTTAAAATGATGTGTGTGTGTGTGTATTACATAAAAAAAATGTATATATGTAAAGAACTTTTCATAACACCCTTGAAACAACTGGAGATAACTAGGTTTGGGAGCAACAAGACTATACTGAAAGCTATAGGTCTATTTGTTAAAGACAGTGTGTTCCAAGGAATATTTGCAGAATACTAGTTCTGTAGGTTATCACTGGGTGTACATGAAAAGGGGTTCTAGGGTCAAATAGGTTGGCAAAACACTGAGCCAAAAGAGGTGCTTTTGCCACACCTTTACTGGAGGGCCTCTCAGACATTCTCACATGCTGATGGGCACTGTGAATCTAGAAAGTGGAGACAGCAGGGAGTCCCGAAGTTATTTGTAAAATATCTTGTAGAACTAAGTGCTCTACAACACACAGTTAGGGGGACACTGAGTTAAAGAATGGGTAAAATTTTAAAAGCACTGAGAGACACAGGGGTGAATACCAAAGGAGAGTACAAAGCAACAGACACTGGTTCCTCAGTCAATCTAAATTAAATCAAATTCTACTTGGATGACATCAACTGTCAAATGGATTCTTCCACAAAGAGCTTACTTATTCTGTGAACAAAAGAAATCCTCAAATGAATACTCAGCTCTAAGCAGCATCACCCCAGACCGCCAACTAAGCAGACTAGCCAACTCGGGTTAAAAATCTTAATTTCCTTAAACATAAAAACTTTCTATGGAAATAACCCCGTTCTTACCAGGCAAATGTGTTCCCGACACATTTTTATTATTTGACAAAATACACTGTCTCCTTTCTTGCTACTTACGACACATAAAGCTCTGAACTAATATAATCGCCTTTAATAATGACAGCAGACTAATTCTGGTGCTGCTGTAGGAGATATGTTGATGGACACGATTATCCATCATATTAACCCTACCCTGAAAAGGATTGTCATCAATTATATGCTTTATATCTATGATACGGTTGGCCTGGGACAAAAACTTTTCATTGTCACAAAAAAAGTAAGAGACAGAATAAATCGAATCTGGGAACATTGCAAGAGTAGATGGATACTCTAGAATTCATATACTTTGGAAGACGGGGTTTTAAAATAGTTTTTAAAACCTGTTCTCATAAGCTCAAACGAAAAGATTCTTCCAAGACAAACAGGCTGCTGTCGGTTAAGATTTTTTTTTTTGAGTGTCAATTTCTGTAGGAGCCTGTTGCCTTTAACAATTCTCAAAGAAGTCCTCTAAAGTGAGTGACCTGGTGCATAATAAGGCCTGCCCTCTGCCTGAAGCTTTTAGAACAATGACTACACTTGTATGGCTTCTCCCCTGTATGAATTCGTAAATGAATAACAAGGCTTGGTCTCTGTCTAAAGCTTTTCCCACAGTAATTACATTTAAAAGGTCTCTCTTCTGTGTGAGTTCTCTGATGCAAAGTTAGAGCTGTCAGTCTACTAAAACTTTTACCACAACTGTGACATCTGTGAGGTTTTTCACCCGAATGCGTTTTCAGATGTCTTTTGAGACTCGATCCATGACAAAAGCTTTTCCCACACTCCAGGCATTTGTACGTTTCTTCTTCAGAATGGGTTCTCTGGTGGCCTATCAGGTGTGACCGCCGAGTGAATCGCTTGTTACACACGGTGCACTCATAGGGTCTCTCCCCTGTGTGAAGCCGTTGGTGTCTATAAAGGTCTGAACTACGGAGGAATCTTTTTCCACACTCAGGGCATTTATGGGGTTCCTCACCTGAGTGAATTCTCTGGTGCCCTGTAAGTTGTGACTTCCGAGCAAAACACTTCCCACACTGAGGACATCGGTGAGGTTTGTCCCCTGGACTCTTTTTCTTCTGGGGCCTGGGGTTGAGAGGTTCTTCCACGGTGGAATTTTCAGGTTTCTCTCCTGCCGGGGGGTCTTGATGATCTACTAGTTTTGTTAAATCTGTCTGTAAATCCTCTGGGGGGCTCTCCCATTGATTCTCCAACTGTACATAGTCCTTCTGCAAGATGGGCCCGTGGAGAGCATTCCCCTCTAGAGTAACAATAAATGGGTACATGTTCTCCAGTTTTTTCTGTTTTGAAGTATCATCTTCATTTTCTATCCCAATCTCAAAACCTGAGAGAAGAAAGAGAAATGGCAGCTGTCACCATGTCCCATGGAGAAAAAAAACAAAAACACGAGGGAAAGTGAAAAGTTGTATTAAACCACCAGTAGGAAAACAGAAATTCCTATGGAGAATCCCAAACTCTTTCTCCTGATCAAGGCTGAATTTTTCTTTTCTCTCTTCTGTGGTATCAGTGAACAATTACTTACCTATCTTGGAATCAAGTAATTGCTTCATTTCTTTGGAATCTTGTAGTTCCTTCACCCACGCTTCTTCCCGAGGCTCCAATGGAAAGCTCACGTCAAGCTTTGGTATTGGATATCCTGGCCGTAAGAAAGACGAGAAGCATAATAGGTTTTTCCTTGATGATATCCTGGACACATGGCTGCTTAGTGTCTACTTCCTCCCCAGTTAGAATGACTCCACCCGGGACTTCTTACGAGAGCCTCTCTTTTTTAAAGATTAAGAACAAAACATAGGGGCGCCTGGGTGGCTCAGTCGGTTAAGCGTCTGCCTTCGGCTCAGGTCATGATCCTGGGTCCTGGGATGGAGCCCCGCATCGGGCTCCCTGCTCGGCGGGGAGCCTGCTTCTCCCTCTCCCACTCCCCCTGCTTGTGTTCCCTCTCTCGCTGTGTCTCTCTCTGTCAAATAAATAAATAAAATCTTAAAAAAAAAAAAAAGGAACGAAACATGAAATTCAAGGCTACTCTCCTCTAATCAATGGAAGGGGAGTGAATGTTTCTCTGTGTTGAAATCAATGCACTAAATGATTTCTGTATCTATTTTGATGTTCGGTTATTCAGGTTGGAGCCAAAATAGGAAGTAAATCTTCATAAAGTTTTGGCATATTAAAACTAAGAAATGCTCCTACTGAGTACCAAGTGCAGACAGAGCTAAAAGTAGGGGTTAGGAAACTGTTTACTAGAATCATTTCCATTGAGATTTTCCAATTAAAATGGAAAATGACGAAGCTGGCAATGAGCAAAAGCGGTTTGCTTCAGCCCAAGTCTAGAAGTGCACTCTCTTGAAATTAACCCAAACAACTCTCAAAGTGTTTCTCACTGCCAATCTAAGAACAACCAGGACAACAGAGCGCCCGGGTGGCTCAGTTGGTTGAGCGGCTGACTCTTGGTTTCGGCTCAGGTCATGATCTCAGGGTCGTGAGATCGAGCCCCGCATCATGCTCTGCACTGAGCCTGGAGCTTGGTTAAGATTCTCTCTCTCGATCTCTCTCTCTAAAAAAAAAAAAAAAAGAACTAGGACAAGATTTGACACTGCTGTCCCCTGGTCCCTGTGTCCTGCCACCCCTCTCCCCTCCCCACTGAGAGCTGCTATGGCTTCCGTTCTCCTTCCACGACCCTTCCTCCCCTTCCTCAGCTCCAGCAAAGTATATTGGTCTGCAATAACGTGTGGGAATTGTTGATTTTAAGTCTAGATACAGAGGCAGCTCAGTTAGTTAAGCATCTGCTTTCAGCTCAGGTCGTGATCCCAGAGTCCTGGGATCGAGTCCCCGCATCGGGCTCCCTGCTCAGCTGTTCCCCTTGCTTGTGCTCTCTCTCTCTCAAATGAATAAATAAAATATTAAAAAATAAATAAATCTAAATGCAGGATGCTGTTTAAATATTAGCATTATTTTCTTAAATATTAGCATTATTAAAATAACATTAGCAAGGTAATGAAAATTGAAGTTTCAAAACATGTCAAAACAGGAAGGGGACTAAGATACCTTATTTTATATTTTCATGGAAAAAAGACCTCTTAAGATAAACAAAAATGTATTTCAAATAAAATTCTGTTTAAACTCACTGTATTGTTTTTGTTTAGATTTCAAAGCTACGAGTGGGCTCAAAGGGTAATACGGCACAGGTCAAACAAAACTGGGGGTCACAGATGGAAGGAAGGCTACCATGAAGGAAAAGTGAGAGCAAACAGAAATATGAACTAAGCAGAGTAGCAAAGGCGGAAGTGTAAAATACAGATTTATGACCTAAACATAGCAGGGGAGACGGACTTCAGAGTCTTAAGATTTTATTTTTTTATTTTTATTTTTTTTATTTTTTTATTTATATTTTTAAAGATTTTATTTATTTATTTGAGAGATAGAGAGCACATGAGAGGGGGGAGGGTCAGAGGGAGAAGCGGACTCCCTGCCGAGCAGGGAGCCCGATGCGGGACTCGATTTTATTTTTTTAAAGATTTTATTTATTTATTTAACAGACAGAAATAACACAGGCAGGGGGAGGGCAGAGGGAGAGGGAGAAGTGGGGCTCAATCCTAGGACCCTGAGATCACGACCTGAGCCGAAGGTAGATGCTTAACCGACTGAGCCACCCAGGCGCCCAGTTTTTTTTTTTAAGACAGACAGAGAGAACACGAGGAGGGGGGAGGGGCAGAGAGAGAAGCAGGCTCCCCACTGAGCAGGGAGCCCAACACAGGACTCGATCCCAGGAACCCAGGATCACAACCCGAACCAAAGGCAGACGCTTAACCAACTGAGCCACCCAGGCACCCCTCAGGCACCCAGAGTCTTAAGATTTTAAACCACAACAGTTCTCTTTAGTACCTCTCCCAGCTCCACGCTAGACTGCCATAGCTAAGGGCCTGGGGCAGCCGCTCCCCCAGCTCCCTTTCAGAGGGCTAGCTTCCTGGGAGGGGCAGGATGTCAGCATTTCTCAGTCTACCCCCGGCTAACCATTGTTGATTCTAAAGTCCAAGCAATCTGACTGAGAGATTGGGGGCTCCTTTTATCTACCCAGTCCCTACTGGTGGCATGAAAGATCTACCCTGGGTGTAGTACTGCTGTGAATCCTAGAGGACTCCCTGATTGTCCTCGTAAGGCAACTGTGATTGGAAGGCAGTAGTTCTATGCCTGCAGAGGCAACCCAAGAAGACCTGACCCCCAGACCTAGTGCTCAGCTCCTAGAGTGGCAATGTCACTCAGAGATAAGCACACCATTTCACCTACCTCCAGAGCGAGGTATCAGAGATTTGGCCTGATGGGGGGGGGGAAGCAGGCCTTAAAACAGGCAGCTCCTAATGTATTCGCACAGAAACTGATTCATTTGCAACAGAGAACGAAAACAGTCAATCCTAAGGACACTCTCAAAAAGAGCAGAGGTTATAATGCAAGGCATCTGGAAAGAATTTGATAGATGTATTGACTATACACCCTAAACCGTAGGCTGACTGGTTTGCAGGAGAGAACTGGGGGAAAAGACAGCTAGGAGGAGCCCTCCTGGGATCAGAACAAATCTCAAAAATTGACCTTAGGAATTAGCCCCAAAAAGGTGTCTGAAATTGACTGGATTCATCTGCAGAGAAATTATGCTCCAGAGCACTGGTGAAAACAGTAGAGCAATTAGCTGGCAATTAATGGCTGGATCAGGGCAGAGAAAGAGACAGCCAAAGAAAACCCTGTAAAAAGTATTGTCGTTCAAGGGTGACTGTGTGCACACCCAGGGCTGTGCTCCCTGAGGAGCAACGTCAAATGCTTAACATTTAGGAGTGGACTAGACTTCACTAAAATAATGCAGCCATTTACCAAACAAATAAACAACCAAATAACAATAACAAGCCCTGGGGAGAAGAAAGAAGAACAGAGAGTTGCTACAATATATTATCTAAAATGTCCAGTTTCCAAAAAAACATGATGAGACACGCATGTGGACAGGAAAGCATGACTCATACACTGGAAAAAAAAGAGCAGGCAATATAATCTGCCTATGTGAGCGACTCCATACTAAATTCAACAAAGACTTGAAAGTAGCCATTATGAGTATGTTCCAAGAATGAAAGAAAACCATGATTAAAGAAGTCAAATAAAATTATGATGACAAACATCACATCATATCAAACAGTATCAATAAATAGAAAGTATAAAAAAGCATCCAGTGCAAATTCTGGAGTTGAAAAGTACAATAACTGAAATGGAAAACTCACTAGATAGCTCAAGAAGAGATGTGAACTGTCAGAAGAATTAGTGAACTTGTAGATCAAAAGAGATTATACTATCAGAAGAACAGAGAGAAAAAAAATGAAGGGAAATGAATGGAACCTCAGAGAAAAGTGGGGTGCCACTCAGTGTACTACCAGATACATAATGAGAACAAAGAGAGAAGTGAGAAAAAGGAGCAGAAAAAAAAATGAACAAATAATGGCCCCAAACTGCCCAAAGGTACTGAAACATTCATCTACACATCTGGGAAGCTCAACGAGTTCCAAGTAAGAAACACAAAGAGATCTACAAACAGATGTATGATAGTAAAACTCCTAAAAGTCACATAAAAGGAAGAAAACCTTGAAAGAGAGCAAGAGAAAAATGACTTGTCACTTACAAGGGAACCCAAATGAAATTAAAAGCTGAGTTCTCATCAGCAACAGTGGAGGCCAGAAGACAGGAGGTAGCATATTCAAAGTGCTCAAAGAAAAATGAAAAATGCCAACCAAGAATCTTATATCCAGAAAAGCTATCTTTAAAAAATGAATGTGAGGGACACCTGGGTGGCTCAGTTAAGCATCGGACTCTTGATTTCGGCTCAGGTCATGATCTCAGGGTCGTGAGATTAAGCCCCGTGTCAGGCTCTACCCTGGACGGGAAGCCTGCTTGAGATTCTCTCTCTCTCCCTCTGCCTCTGCACCTCCCCCCTGCTCACACTCTCTTTCTCAAAAATAAATAAATAAATAATAAAAAATTGAATGTGAAATAACATTACTGATAAGCAAAAACCGAGAGAATTCATTGGTAAGCAGTCTTGCCTAACAAGAAATACTAAATAGGGGCACCTGGGTGGCTCAGTCAGTTAAGCGTTGGCCTTCGGCTCAGGTCATGATCCCAGGGTCCTGGGACCAAGCCCCATGTCGGGCTCCCTGCAGGGAGCCCGCTTCTCCCTCTCCCTCTGCCTGCTGCTTCCCAGCTTGTACTCTCTCTCTCTTTCTCTCTGTCAAATAAAATAAATAAATAAATAAAAGAAATACTAAATAAAGGAAGTTCCTCAGTCTGAAAGCTAGTGATTCCAAATGGTAATTTGAACCCACATGAAAAAAACAAAGGGCACAAGTAACGGTGATTACGTAATTATAAAAGATAGTATAAATACTAATTTGTTTCTTTTTTCTCTTAAAAGATTTTATTTTTATTTATTTTTTTAAGATTTTATTTATTTATTTGACAGAGAGAGAGAGACAGCACAAGTAGGCAGAAAGGCAGGCAGAGGGAGAGGGAGAAGCAGGCTCCCCGCTGAGCAGGGAGCCCGATGCGGGGCTCGATCCCAGGACCCTGGGATCATGACCTGAGCCG